ATATGTGACATTGTGGAGAATGGAAACTTACTCTGGTGAGGGTCAACTGTGGCTCCACATAGAAAGCTTTACCCAGCACTGGTTTTCGGTAGGTCTCGTCTACATCACTCAGGGCCTGGCACAAGGCAAATAAGCAGAAAGACTTAAAACATATAGGATCTTCTTATCATAAATTTTGGCATCACAGTGGGGAAAGACGACAGGAGTCAGAAGGATAACAACATAAAACAATGATTTGATACTTGTTCTCAATGTCTGATTGAGATACTGTAAAGCAATATTGGATGTTCACTTGCTCACTCAGAATTTTTATTTTATTATGAGAATAAGCCCAATCGGATATACTTAGGCATTTAAGAGAAATTCCATAGACTTAAAATAAAAGCCCAGATTCTTTTGACATTTTCTTGTATTCATTTGTATGCATTTCTTTACAGAAATGTCAATGAATGCCATGTGAATATATATAGTTAGGATAACAATATGTAGTTGGCCTTTTCTTGTATTGGAAATGCCAATGATATCATTTGAATATATGTAGTTAGGACAGCAAGCACTCCAAAGTCCTGCTTGCTCCCCTAACTACATATATTCACATGGTGGTTGGTCTAAAACTTTGAAGTGAATACTAGTATATTAAGATATTTAAATTTTAATAGCTGGAGCAGTGAAGGGTTGGACAACATACAGTTACAGTTAATTGGTTAAAGAGAGCTGGCCACTGCATGAGGGAATCTGAGCTGTGATTGGTTGCTGTAAGAGTAAAGGGGGAGTTTCCTCGTTTCCCGCCTTTTTCCTCTGTGTGCCGTGTGTGCTCTCTGTGATTTATCTGAGGATGTTCCTGCTGGGTTGATTTACCTGACAATGCTCCTGTTTGCCTTATTTACTGTAAATATATTTATTTATATAAAACTGGTTTGCGTCAGTGTCTCTGACTCCATTTGGACACCAGCTGCGCAATTTCCTGACATAGTAAAAACCACAGAAGGGAAATGTTCAGGATTACCATATTCCAGAATTTGTCAAATGCAACCAAGAATCCAGTGCAGACACCACGAAGCCCCTTGAAAGTTCGGATATGGACATTGACTTTTACGCCATCACGGACACAGCGATGAAGTTCCCCAAGCGGACTGCCTTCATGAACTGGAAAGTAAGATAACAACCATCATTTGCTGTAGAACAAAACAATTTCCAGCTATTGTTGCTATTATTATTTGAATTACATACTTCTGCCCACAAGGCGTAAGAGAGAATACCTGCAGGATTATTTTGCATTGTATTATTCAGAACTGTCCATCTGAAAATTCCCATATGTTCTGTCTACTGTCTTATTAAGAATTAACTGACATGGGTCTTTGATTTTTTACCCCTCTAAAACCAAAAGAATAGCACATTTTTATTCAGTAAGAATCTTTTACCCAAGTACTGTATAGTAGTTCTCCAAACATTAGCGAGTATTATTCTTAGTGTCATGGAATTTATTTGTCTCTGGCTTTAGGCATTGCAGAAATATAATTATTCATACAGAGTTTATGGGTATGTAATTGGATATGCAATAGTGGTGTAATGGATTTTTAGCACAGTACATATGCTTAATATCCCAATTCTAAAGGATTATTAAAAGGCTTGTCACTATGTAGTAGTTAATATTTCTGGTTGATAATCATGTCAGTAACCAAACAACAATCAATGCAGTCTAAATTCTAATCATGCAAATGATTAGTCTTCTATAGCACATAATTTATTATAAGTGACATAAATAAATATACCAGCCATTGCTTTGGATTAAAGGATCGTGTTAGCATTAAAAGGATACAAAACTATCTAGTATAGAGGTTGCAGTCCTGGATTATATTATTTTTTGGATGGATTCTATAAGTGTTTCACATATAGACAGGAAGGAGAAAATGTCCAGGAATGCTTCTAACCATTGGCAACAGCTCTTTCTTTTGGAAAGGAATTATCTTAAGATATATAGTAAACTGCAGATGCTCCAAGTCACTTTCCCCCCAGCTTCCTATCATTTAAATATCCTTCCATTACCTAGATACATCTTGTACTCAGGTTGTGACTATTTGCAACCAAGTGTAGGCTGGCTGAGGAAGTCTATGAATTGTAATCAACCCATCTGAAGGATGGACAGGTTGGACAGGAGTGAACAAGATCATTTAGGCACGCTTAACAATATGTGATTTTGCCACGTTGCTGCAAATTTCCACACTATACTATGCTACTTCCATGGCTATTGTAATCTGGAATTCCTTGGAAGATTCACTGAAATGGGTTCAATAAATTAAAAGCTTCTATACTTTATCAGCCAGATGAGAAGTAGATAATGAATCCTTTTTTTGGTATTATCATCTTGCATCTCTCTGAAAGCACAACTCAAAGAAGTTAGCCTTTTTCTCTTCTAGTGATACGTAGACAGCTGCAGTTATTTGGTTGCCATTTAATTCCAATCGCTAGTAATACATATTTTTCACAACAGGAAGCATGTATATGTATCTATAAACTACCTTATTTTTTGGAGTATATGACGCACCTTT